CAGGTTCGCGATCACGCGTCTCCCTCTCCGCTCCGACGTCTCCGCGCGTCTCCCCTCTTGCGACGCCCGAAGGCCTCGCCGCCCTAAGTAGATATGGGGGAGATATGGGGGAGATGCGTGCTGCGGCTCGCCGCCCCAGCAGAGGAAGACTGCGCGTTCTTGTCTCCCAACCAGCGCTCGAGAGGACACGCATTCTCAGCCGCTCTTCCCCTTTCAGCCGCGTTCACTGCATTCACACCCCTCGTCCTCCCACGCTGCCCTGAAGGCGCGCGGCACGACACCGCCCTCCCGCCCCTCATGCTTGCGTGTACTCACCACACAAAGACACACCCCCGGGACCCAAGACGCACAAGCACAGACCGTCGAGAAGGGAGAGACAGCAGCGACAGCCAGAAGTCAGCGCTGTTTCCCAGGAAGGCGAAGGCGATGGCGAAAGGCCGCCTCTAGTGCGAGCTTTAAAGCTAGTGAGCGCATCGCTACTCTAGCTTGCGTGCACTCGCCGCGCAGGCTCGCCGGCAGCGTCGCAAATCGCCTCCCCCCGCGCCTCCGCCACGTCGCCCCGTCTCCCGATCCCGACCTCGCCCGTGCGGCCGGAGGGGTCGGCGACCCCACCGTGGGCGACGCCCGGCTATGGCGCGGCGCCTGCGCCCAGCTCACCGGACCGGCTCGCCGCGCCGCCGGTGCCGCCGCCGCTGGCACCGAGCCCGTGGTGGCGGACGAGTCACTCGATGAGTAGTGAGTGAGCGACTAGGTGCTGCCGCCGCTCACTGAGCCGCCCCCGCGGCGGTTCCAGAGCGGGCATGCTCCTCCTCCGCCCCACTCCGCCATCGCCGCGAGCGGCGGCGCCGCCGCAGACAGCGCCGGCCTCGCCGGGGCGGCTGCCACCTCAAGCGGCTGCGGCGGAGGCGGCGGAGGCGAAGGCGGAGGCGGCGGCGAAGGCGGATGCGGCGGCGTGGCGCGTCGCTCCTTTTCGGCAGGGAAGCTGGGCGGGCCGGCGGAGCAGTCGCCGGCGCGGCCGTTGTCTGCGCCGGTGGCGGCGGCGGCGCGGGAGGGGGAGGAGGAGGGCCGCGACGAGGGGGAGGAGGAGGAGGGGAGCGGCGGGCGGTCGGAGGATGCGGCGGCAGAAGCGGCGGCGGCGGAAGCGGCGGCGGCGGCGGCGGCGGAAGCGGCGGCGGCGGCGGCGGCGGCGTTGGGGTTTGCATCGCGAGAAGAGTCGGGCGGCGGTGGCGGCGAGGCGTCGGCGGTCGAGTTTGTGTGCGCCGCTCGCGAGGACGCGGCGCAAAAGGCGGAGCCTCGCGTGGCGGAGCCGTTTCCCAGACCGTTCCTAGACCTTTCCTGGACGTTTCCCGTATAGGCGGAGCACGTCGTGACCGAGCCTCCGTCCTGCAGCTTCCGCGTGCGCGGCCCCCGGTACCTGTCGAGCAAGGCGAAGATCCCGTGCGACTGGGCGGGGATGCGGCTGCTTGGCTGCGACCTCTGGAAGGGGGGCGAGAGGATGGAGCACGTCGCGGCCGGGCCGGCCGCAGGCAAGGTTGCGGCGTTGCGGGCCAGGCGGATGCGGCTGTAGCATTTGCCATTACAGTGGCACGCCGCGCTTTCTCCCTCCCCGTCGCCACCGTCCGTATCTCCCGCCGATCGCTCCCACGCACGCCTCTCCAACTAGACCGTTCCTGGAACGTTCCTGGAACGTTCCTGTACCGTTCCCTCCCACGCTCGCCTCTCCAACGCAAGGGGCGGTAGGGACAGGTTGCCCTTACCCTCCTCCAGCAGTCTCAGAACCAGCTCTTCTTCTGGGCCGGGACTTGCTCCTCATCAGTTTCCTAGTCCTTTCCTAGACCTTTCCTGGAACCTTCGTGTAGGTACGGCCAGGACCTGCTCCTCATCAACTTCCAGTGCCCTGCAAAGGGCGGCGGCTCCGTCTCGGTCGTGCTCTGGTGGGTCATGACGGAGCGCGCGGCCGAGGACGCGCGCTTCACGGGCCTCTGGCGGCGCTTCATGGACAGCGGCGACGACAAGTGGCGCTGAGCTGCATGAAAAAAAGAAACAAGGCGACGGGCGGTGTTTCTTTTTCTAGGCGACGACAAGTGGCGCGGGCTCCGCCTCAAGATGATCCCGTGCGTCGTCGAGGGCAACTTTTTCGTCAAAAAGCTGCTCGGCGACCGCCCCGTGCTAATCAAGGCCCTCCCGCCGCGGTACCACACCTCCAGAGTGTCGAATCCAGAGTGGGTTCAGGTCCTTGGGTGGTGCGGTAGGCCATCAAGACGCGGTACCACACGGGGCCCGGCTACATCGAGGTTGTCGGCGACATCCTCTCCTCCAAGATGGCGACCAACATGTGGCGCGGCGTCGAGTCTTTCGCCAAGTCGCTCGTCGTCGATTTGGGGTCTGTGCTCGTGCTCCTCATCAACTTCCTAGACCTTTCCTGGACCTCTCCTGGACCCTTCCTGTAGGTTTGTGCTCGAGGCGCAGGCGGAGCAGGAGCTGCCCGAGCGGCTGATGGGCACGGTGCGTTTCCATCGCATCAACCTCCGGAAGGCGGTGCCGCCGCCGACGACGCCCTAGGTCGCCGCCGCAGCGGCTGCCGTCGTGAGCCCGCACAGCAGTGCTGATCTCAATGATACCGTCAGCCGCGGTCAGGCAATACGCATTCGATGCCCTTGGCTCGCCCTCACCCCCCGCGGTACACAGCACTCTGGTAGTATACTCGCCGATGAATGGACCCCTCGCGGTCGCGCCGTCGCTCCGGCTCCACACCATATACACCATTGGCGCGACGGCGTGCGGTTACCGCACCTGTCTCCCCTGTCCGAGGTGTCCCCGGGTTTGCCGCACCTGAACAGCTTAGTATGTTTTTCGGTTCTGTACTGACCCCGAGTGTGCGGCGCGGTGCCCTGGGACCCGATGGGCTTCGCCGAGTACGGCAAGTTTGGCAGCCTGCCCGCCAAGCTCGCCTGGTACCGGCTCGACTGTGTCCAGGGCAGGGGCGGATAAAAGAATTTTACAACGGGCGGAGAAAAGAAAAAAGGCTGGGCGCGGCTACTGGAAGGGAGAGGCACTCTCTGGCCTGCAGGTTTGCAGCCTCGGCTAGATGCGCTCGTGGACCGGCATGCGCCACCGGTGGTCCGGAGCCTCCAACACTGCTGGCGTGCACAAAGCCGAGAAAGTCAGCCAACGAAAAGTTGTGCGCCGCAGGTAGGGTGCCTGCGGCTACCGTGTCCCCGGTGATGTACTTCTTAAACGCACTCTGTATCCATGGCCACGACCCATACTGCGCCGGGCCCGGCATGTAGAAGAGTAGGACAGCCGCGTGCGGACCGACGACGGTGCCGGGCATGGCATGGACGGCATCGTCCCAGGGTAGCGGAGCCCAGGAAGACGGAACGTGCGAACTCGCGCGCGTGCTGTTGAGTCTTTGCTGCCGCTCCTCGCGTGATACACCATGTGGTAGTACTCTCGACGCGCACACTTCGGCGGCCGGCGGAGGCGGATGGTGTTGATCGAGGCGAGGAGACGGGGCTCGTCAGCCCACCGGCGGAGCCACTCGTAGTCGTACTTGATGCCCGGGCTCGAGATGTGGTACCTCGACCCGCGATCGCGGAAAGAAAAACGCCGCGCGTCATCGGCAGCAGCCCTGGCCCTTTCGCGGTCCTCGGCGCTCTGCCCATCGCCACCGTCTCGCCACCGTCTCGCGCGCAGCCGCCATCCGATGCCCGGGAGGGTATGGACAGAGAACCTCAGGGATCCGGGGGACGCCAGGCGCGCCATCATCGACAATCTCGCAATCGGGCCCCTCCTCGTCCGTGGCCTCGTCCCCGTCGCCGTCGCCTCCCGTCGCCGCATCCGGATCTGCGGCGGCAGGCGGCGCATCGGCCGATGAGGCTGGCGGCCCGCCCGGCTTCGGCCTGAGACAGCGGTGCCCCAGGCCATCGGCGGCGGCGGCAACTCGGGCGATCGCGACGCAGTGCTTGTCGTGCTGGAGGAAGAGGTGAAGCACGTACCGCGGCGCGGCCACCTCAGTCGGCCAGGTTATCTGAGCCATGCGCCGCACCCCCGTCTCCGAGGCGATTGAGTCAACAACGATCGGCACACCACAAAGGTCCGCCACGCCCAAGAGGAAGCCGTCACATCCGTACGCGTTGTTCCGGACGCCGCGAACCTGGTTTGTGGAGCTCCCGCACCTGTTCTGACAGAGACCTGGCCGTTCTGACAGCGTTCTGACAGCGTTCTGACAGTGTTCTGACAGCGTTCTGACAGCGTTCTGACAGCGCAAAATCCTCCCCTCTCTTCACAGCTCAGGGGCTCTGACGTTCCCAGTTGCCCCGCTCCTTCCCTCTTCCTGTCTTGAAGTCTCCCTCCGAGCCACGGACGGACTCAACACACGCAGCACGTCCTCCCAAGCGCCAAGGCGACACTCTCACGTTGAGGCGTAGGCCTTGTTCTGACACAAACTTGGTCCCCGTTCTGACACAAACTTCAACTTTCAACTTCGAGTCCAAGTTCGCCTGTTCTGACAATCTGTTCTGATAATTTAAAAAGAAATCTGTGGGCCGAGAGCGATATGCCATGTCCGCCTTGCGTTTGTTTCATAACATCGAAGGCTAAGCTCAAAAGAAATGCGTGCATCCCACCAAGCGGGAGCGCAAACAGCTGTAACCGTCGAGCAGGAGCACGCCAAGGCCGCCATCATGCCGGGGCCTCGAGGCAGCAAACGCGCTCTTGCGATGGTCTGCGGCGCAGGCTGGAGCCCCGCGACAGAGCCGAAGAAGCTGCGGCCCGGCAGCAGCCACGCCGAAGCGCCGCAGCACAGTGTGCGATGTGCGGGCCCGGCGGTCCAGTTAGACGCGAAGGCTGCTTCCAAGACGGCAGCCTCGGGTCACGAGGGACCGAACGTGCCGCTTGCGACGCCGCCGCGCCGTCCTTTGGCACCACCGCCAAACGGCCCTTGCTCCTCCGCGACACGCGCCGCAGAGACGCGCTTGTCGCCGCCAAAGCAACAGCAGCAGCAGTGGCAGCGAGACTTAACGTCGGCAGTGCGGCCTCGCCGCAGCCCAGCCGGCGCTTGCCTTGCCCTGGCCAGGCGGCCGAGCAGGCGGTGCCCGCAGCCGAGGCAGATCAGCGGGATGGGCTCGAGCGGGCGCCGCCGCCCCCTGGCGCCGCGCCCGCAAAGGAGCCTGCAAAGGCGGCGGCGATCGGCGAGGCGGCGGCGCTCGCGTCTTGCAGATGTTCACACTTGGCCCGCTCTCGCGTGCTGGCAACGTTCTGACAGTACCCTACCCACAAAAGTGTTCTGACAGCGTTCTGACAGCGTTCTGACAGCGTTCTGACAGCGTTCTGACAGTGTTCTGACAGCCGTTCTGACAGCTTTTTGACGGTAATTTACAGTTAAGACTCACCATCTGGTCTGAATAGAGGAGAGCGATGTCAGTGTTGGTTACAGCAGAAAGATTCCTTAATTCGCTCCACTACAAAAAAAGTCCGGTGGGGAACCGACATCCTGGCCCCGAATGCCGTGCTCTCGAGGAAAGGTGTGGGAGCTCCACAAACCAGGTTCGGTCTCAAGAACGCGACCCTCACTGGAGCGCATCTCCCTCGCCGGCGTGGCCCAGTTGACTCCGTGCCGCGTCGCGGCGGCGCGCGCCGAGGCAGCATCACCCCGGCCCTCCCCCCACATTGCATACGCCGCCCGGAGTGCCTCCGTGGCGCAGGCGCACCCGCCATGGTGCCCCCTGCGCGATCGAAGCACGTGCGCTCCCTGGCCCTCCCAGTCGTGAAGGGCGTCGCGAGCTCAGGGTGTCTGCCGGAATTACTGAGATCCACCCGAAGATGCCCAGCGGGAGCCCGGCCTCCCTGGCCGACGACTCTAACTCGCCCGAGGGCGAGGTTCGGGGAAGGGCCGCCCTCCCCAGCCCCGCCGCTTTCCGGACCCCCTGCGCCGCGACCTTGTCCGTCGCCCTCATTCGTGTCGCCCGCCTCGTCAGGCGCAGGTCCGCGCTCCGCCTCGCCCTCCTCGTCCAGGTCCATGCTCGAGAAGCTGCCTTGCGAGTCGGGCTGCCCAGACAGGAGGTATCCTGCGAGCTTGCATCCTCCTCCACGTCCACGTCCATGCTCGAGAAGCTCTCCTGCGAGTCAGGCTCCCCGAGCAGGGAATCCTGCGAGCTCGCCTCCCCTTCGTGATCCCTGGCACCCGGGTCCTGGGGCTCTGAGCTAGCCCCCTGACCCGGCGGATCGCCCCCCCCCCCCCTTCGTCTGCCATTAGATAAGCTCTTAAATCACAACACAGGGCAGGACACAAACACAAGGATCCGCAGGCGGAGTACTCTGAGAGCACCCAACCAACAACCACTCGCAAGCGCACTAGCCCACCCTACCGGCCATCCTGCGAGCGTGCGTAACACGATCCGAACCCCAACCTTCACTTCTTGAGCACTTGAGCACTTGATAGGGTCGATTCCGCATGGTACGGGACCCCTCGATCGTCTCGCCCTCCCTCACTGGTGTGTTCACTTCTGTCTTAGTAGCTTTCTAGAGCAGAGCGTTCGTTGTGAATGAGCGCACAGAATATAGCCCACCACAACACACGAGCGTACGAGGCAGAGATTTTTGTTTTCTGTGTGTTAATGAGCGTGCCTGCCTGCGGCGAGGGCTGCAACCGAACGAGGAGGTCAGCCGCCGAGGAGGTGGGACGCTGCACGTTGACCATGTGCACCTGAACACCCTTGCCGCATCCATCCTGGGTGGTGTCGTCGTCGAGTTCTGCCCCGTACTATAGTGGCGAAACCCCATTTTTGACATTCTCAATCGTCCGGTGGACAGGAGGAGGTTGGCTGAGATCTAGATAGAGAGAGAGATGTGTTGTTGATTGAGATCTTGGCTGAGGTCTCGAGCCATTGGCGACGCGGATGGCGTTGGCGACGCGGCGGAGTTCTACAACCCACGTGGCATCGTCACCAGCCCAGACGGCGGCGCGCTGTTTGTGGCAGACTGGAGCAACCACAAGATCCGGCGGGTTGAGGTGGCGACTGGCGCAGTGACGATTCTCGCGGGCAGTGGCACCAGGGGTAGGGAAGACGGCGTGGGCGACTCGGCGGAGTTCTATGACCCAACTGAAGTCGCCCTCAGCCCCGACGGCAGCACGTTGTTTGTCGGTTCGTACGGTGGCCTCCGCCTGGTCTGCGTGGCTGCGCCTCCTCCGCCTCCCTCCTTTGCCCCGATCGTCGTTCCGCGTTCGACCCTTGGAGCTGACTTCGCAAAGACGCGGGGCGACGCCTCCCTCCCGCAGGGCATGGTCACCTTCCTGGTCGGCGACGACCGGGAGCGCATCGAGCACGTGAGCAAGAACGTGCTCTGCGCCCGGTCCCCGGTCTTTCGGACCATGTTTGGCATCGGCATGAAGGAGCGGGACGCCGCCGAGGTCACGGTGTCCCACACCAACCTCGCCAGCTTCACCGCCCTCATCGACTACCTCCTCTCCGAACGCGCAGAGGCAGCTGCGACCCCGCCGAGTGGACGGGGGCACTCCGCGCCACCTGCCGAGTGCCCCCGTCCACTCGGCGGGGACCGGGGTCACAGCTGCCTCTGGAAGGCACCGAGAGGTACCAAATGGCGCAAATGACCAAAATCAAGATTGTGTAACGCGGGCTGTGCCACTGTGAAATGGAACTAGCCACGACGCTGCTTCTCGGCTGTCTGTGTAATGCACCGGTCGGGGGCACGCACCGCAACATGGCAAGACTACGATCGACCCGATCGGCAAAACTAAAAGCGGCAGCGCATTGCGCATCTACTACCGTGGATGCGACGCGGGTCCTCCGCTATTTGCGAGCGACGACCGACGCACTCCACTCAACGCTGTGCCCCGCTAGTTCTTGCCCCCCCCCCCCCCCTCCCTGACCGTTCCGAGATCTGGCGAGATCTGGCGCTGTCGTGCCGCCTGTACAGCTCAGGCCGGAAGATGATCCTGCCAGCGGCTAAAGCGATGGGAAAAGCTGCTCGTATCCCATAGGCAGAATTGGCTGGAAGTTGCAGGTCCCGTAGTTCAGATACGACTGGGTCGTGTACTCGCCGTCCGCACAGACGGAGTCCATCATCTCGTACGATCCGCAAAAGCACTTGCGTGCAAAAGGGGAGAAGGCACACGTGCCGTGGTTCATGTTATTCGTGGTCGAGTAGGTTCCGCTCGAGCAGAACCAGTCCTGCTGCTGGCTAGAGCCGCAGTAGCACTTGGGCGCAAGATATGCGAAGGCACACGTGCCGTGGTTCATGTAATTCGTGGTCGAGTAGGTTCGGCTCGAGCAGAGCCAGTCCTGCTGCTCGCTAGAGCCGCAGTAGCACTTGCCGGTGCCTGACCCTGAGAACCTTGTGGCGTCGCGGAACGCTTGACCATGCAGACGAAGCCAGGAATGGGCTTTGAGCTGGTGACGGGCTCGAGCTGCAGCTCGCATCTCACATACGCTTCGCCCCCTGGTGCGAGTAATACTCATACGCCAAGCAGGCTGGACTCCCATATATGGACTCACGGCACATATGCGGGCAAAACGGAGTCAACAAACAGCTGGCAGACAAAGCGCCCCTCGTTCACATTGACAAAGTTCGACGTTGCGGCCGAGACGTAGCCGAAGTAGTGGACGCAGGGATGTCCTTCCCACGCCGTCTCGCCGTCCGTGCAAGGGCGGTGCTCCTCCACCTTGAAGACCGAGATGCCCCAAGCCTGATCGCCCTGCTCCATGCCGCACATCGACGTCGGCTCAAGCAGCGCGATGTTCTTGTGGTCCCACGCGCTGGAGACCAGTGCGTTCGCCTCGGCCGCATCGCCCTCGATGGTCTTTGCGAGGTGGTGAGGGAAGTCGGTGAACTTGACCGCCGTCTGCGGGTAGTAGTTGAACTCGATGTCGGCCATGAAGTGCGCCGCCGTGTCGCCCTCCGTCTCGCTCGCCTCGACGTCGCGCTCCTTCGTCGCGACGTTGAGATTCGAACAGAAGCCAGAGGTGGCGATCAGCCAGGCTGGGTCCTCGACCACGTCGGGCACGGGAGGGGGCTTGGGCGCAAATGTGGTGCTGCGAGCGGTCGGGTTGATGTCGTCGACAGTTTCGGCCTGCGCACGCCGGAGTGCGCGTGTGAGGCTCAGCCTGCCTGAGTGAGTAATTGTGGCGGGACGGAGCACCGGCAGGGCAGACGCCGGCAGCGCGACGAGCAGAAGCGAGGCAGTCTTCAGCATGGCAGTCCGTGTCGGCAGTCCGTCGGGGTCAGATGTACAAGTCCGCCGAATTTAAGATTTTAGAGGCCGGCCGCAGGCCGGCGATTTTCAGATTTTAGACCAAGATTTTCAGTGTATGTAGCTCTTACGTACATTCCCGTAGGAGACTCTGCTGACAGGGTTTGCGATGAGGAGCGACCCGAAGGGTTTCTCGGAGGTTAGCGCACCACTAACCGCCGAAGCGCAAGAACTCTACGACGGATCGGGCTCATACTAGCACCCCACCTCGCGAGCCGACGTTCTGGCTCAGCGAGGCTGCTGCGGAGCACTCGCGGACCGGTTCTTCTGGTCCAGCGAGGCCGCTGCGGGGCACCCGGCGGCTCGGGTCACTTCTCATCGCAAACTCGGTCGAGCAGGGAGCACTGCGCTGACTGCTGCGCCCACAAACACAGGGAGCACGCCCTGCGCTGGAGCGACAGCGTTCACGAGCCCCAGGTGATTTGCCGGCTGGAGGTGGTTGGTTATCACGGTCAGTGCGCCGACCAAAATCGAGGGCGCATTCGCAGGAGTACACACCACTGAGGCTGCGAGCCGACAATAGGCTGCCCATTCTTCATTGCCGCGTCAAAGGTGGCGCAGGCGCTAGCCGACAAGGGAGCCGTACGCGAGTGTGTAATCACGAGGGCGGGGAGCGTGCATGTGCCGTGCTGGCCAGACGCCGACCGCGAGACGTACCGGAAGCTCGTTGCCGATGAGCCTCGCACGGCGTCATGGCAGGGCGGCTCGCCACGCGTCACCGTTGACGGCGACGCGCAGTCTGCGATGGGTGCATCCGAGTTTTTGCAGACGTACGGCCACCTCCTCGACGGTCCGCAGGAGCTAGGCCTGCCGCAGAGCGCGGCACGGTGGTGGGCGGAGGCGACGAGCTCGAGCATCAAGCCGCTGTTTGTCGCCGCATACGTCACTGGCGCCAAGGCCTTCTTCGAAGCCGACCCCGCCGGGCAGGAGGGAGCAGCACGCCCCCAAACGGTCTGCGGCTTGTGTGTGTGTGTACGGGCGGCGTTTCGCTGTGTAGGCGCTGCACGAGAAGCGGGGCCGGATCGTCTACGAGGACATCGGATCCGCAACGTTTGGCAACCACTCGCTCGACCGCTCAGCCGACGTCGCGCTCGACAAGTTCCTCTCAAAATCGTGCGAGGGGCTTGGCATGGGCTTGGATGGGGGGAAGGTGTCCGTTTGAGACAGATGATATGTGCCACGCTGGCGCGGGCGGGCGCTCAGATGGTGTGATGATGACGCCCTGCCACGTCGCCGCACATGCACATGGACATGTGCACATGCACATACATGCACATGCACGTGTCATGCACGGCATGTGCATGTGCATGTATGTGTGGGGAGGGTCGTTCGCGCTTCAACTCGGCACCGTGCAGCTGTGGTAGTCTCGACTGCAGCGTGCGCGCCTGGGCGCAGCTGTGTGCTGTGGATCGTTCTGTGTGGTGTCTAATGCATCTTTCTTCCATGATTTCTCATTTTCTTATAACACCAACAGGGCAGTCGCGCCACTGAACAAAACGCCCGCGACACACCTCAGCCTACGTCGGGCAGCGCGGGCGCGGCAGCACCAAACGCAGGTGGCGGCTGGGCGGGAGTCGGAGGCGGGATGAAGCCTGGGGCCCAGCCAGTCGCGTCAAGCAGTGCCTGTGCTTCTCGGATCCACTCAGGCACCATCCTCACCTGGCACGGCTCGCCACTCTCATCGACGGCGATGATCGACGCCCACTGCACGCGCTTCATGTTGATGCTGCGCGCTCGCTTGCTCACCACGAGTGTGTCCTCGCAAGACTCGAGGCGAGCCAGGGGTGGCCGCTTGCCCAGCACCGAAGGCGTTTCTGAGCGCTCGGCACGCATCATGATCCTCAAGGGATGCCGCCGTTTGGTCGCGGCAGATCCTCAAGGGACGGGGGCGGCACACCTGGTCAAAAAAGGAATTCGCGCCTGATTCTCTATTGAGCTTAGCCTTCGGTTCTCGAGGTTCTCGAGGTGGATATCCTTTGGCCGCGTTGGGTAGCGAGAGGATTGGTGTGACGCGATCCACGCAGGCGTGTTTTCTGACGGCCGACCGTCAGTGCACGGAGTTGCCCCTTCTCCGACTGCCCCGGCTAGTTCCCGAGGTCGTCGGGTGTGACCCCTTCGTCCCCCGAGACCTAGCGCGGGTGGGTTGGAGGGAGCTCGCCCCGTTCCTCCCCATCGGGCCGCGTGAGCGGCCGCGCCTCGCAGATTCGTTTTCGCGCCTGGGTCAGGCGCGCGGGGCATCCCCCGGGTCGCTCGACCAGCGATCCGAAGAGTGGCCGCTATGCGAGGGAAAGAGCGGGGCCCTCGACGCCTCAGTCCGGCCCTCCGAGGGGGGAAGGGAAGTGCGGGGTCCCCACGGGCGCCTCAGTTCGGCCCTCCCGAGGGGGGGAGGGGAGCAAGGGGGTGGGGGGATTGGGGTGGTGGGGAGGGGTCTCGGTTGCATGGGTCTAATACTTGCCTTTGGAACCACAGGGCTCGCGTGCTGACTCGGTGCGGCGCCACACTCTGCGCCACTTTTGAGGCGTTGGCGAGGGGCCGGTAAAAGAAAGAAAGAAAACGGACAACCCAAGGGAGGGATGGGAGGACGGCACGCCGCCACCACACAGGGATTTTAAGGAGAGGGGTGAGGTGCACTAGCCGTCGCCCACCCTTGGGCGTCCGCCTCTTCCTATCTCTCTTCGCAGTCTCTACACTCATACATTGGATTGTCATTGCCTGTGAGTGCGAGATAGGGCTGGCCGCTGGCGGCTAGCCCCTGAGGAGAGTGACCAGAGACACCTCACATGACCCCACACACGGTCTAGTCCGGCCTCGCGGTCGGCGGAGATTGCTAGAGGACGAGCAAGCCTGCTCTAGCCTCGCATATTACCTCCTGTCGTCTGTTGTGATGTTGTGCCCTTGTTTGTTTCTCTTGGCACCTTGGAGTGCTGGGGGGGGCGACAGGAGGAATGTGGCCCTGAGTTATGTGTACGCCAACTCAGGGTGTGTGGCAGCCAGCTGGCTGTGTGTCTTGTGAGCTTGTTTGTGTCTGTGTGTCGCTCGTGCGTGTCGTCATCATCTGTCCCGCGTCCACCCATACCGCGTTGGTGTCCAGTCCGAGCCTGGCTGTTCTTCACCTTTCTACCTACCTACCTACCTAGTCTCTCTCCGTACTCCGATTCTCGCTGCGACCTTCGTGCCACCTCGCGGTCGCCCCCTTCTCGTCGTGCTCTCCCTTGTCGCTTCTTCCTCTGTCGCGTCGCTCTCCTCTGTCTCGTTCTGCGACGCCGCCGCCGCCTGCCGGTCCCTTGTTCTCGCGGCTTCTGTCGCGGGGCGGGGTACCGGATGGGTGGCATTGAAGCCCGAGGGGTGCGGGAGGCGCACGGCGGGGGCCGGCCTCGGGGTGAGGGTGAGGCCGGCCGCCGCCACCGGGGGCCGCCGCGCCGTAGAGCGGCCCGTCGGTCTCCCTACCGGCGGTGCGCGCGGCCGCGCTCGAAGGCGCTGATTGCTCGGCCGCGCGGGGCCGGGTGACTCGCCCGCTGGGGGGGTGGTGCACGGGGTTTGCGGCGGGGTCCCCAACGTCCCCGGGGCGGCACGCCTCGGGGCGTGCCGCCGCGCCGCGCGCCAGGGCGGCCCTGATGGCGGAGAGCTCGGAGTCGGAGTGCTCGGTCTCTCTCTCCATCGTGTCGAAGAGGTCAGTTGCCTCCTTCCCGAGGTCTCGTGCTCGTGCCTTGCCCCGCAGGGTTCGGGCCTGCGCGAGGATGTGCTCGACCTCCGCTCGCATCTTTGCGAGCTCGGCGCGGTCCGCCCGCCTCTCGGGCCTGAGGGACGTGCCATCCAGGGCGACGTAGCGATCTCCCTTGTCTGAGGGAAGATCGCCTTCCGTGTCTGCCCCCTTCCCCACAGCCCGCTGCGGTGGGGTCACTGAGCCGCACCGTGCGGCGTACTTGTGCGTGTCGTGCAACGCCGGGGGCTTGCGCGTGCGGAGGGCACGCATTCCGGGCGCGGTGCCCGCCTGGACGCCGCCGCCCAGGGCAGCTGGCGTTAGGGGCGCTCGGCTCTGCAGTCGCGACCGCTCCTCCTCGAGGGCACCCTTGCCGGGCGACGCTCGCGCTGTCGTCACGATCCGGTGCTCCGGGGGCCCGTGCCCTCGGCGGGTCGTCCGACCCCATGGTTGTGTGGTTTGCCTCGGCGTCTCCCGCCGGTGCGTTCTCTGGGGCTCCCCGCAATGGGGAACCTACGGCCGATCTCGCAGCCCATGCCGCTGTATCCAGCCCTCGGTCGGTCTCGAAACGCAACCCCCATGGGTCCGCTTCGTCGGGTCCGCCCGAGCCGTCGGGCTGGTAGGACATATGGTTTGCCTTGACGTTTCCCGTCGACGCGCGCCTCAGGGCTCCCGTCGATCGGAAACCCACGGTTGATGCCGCAGCCCATGCCGCTACATCTAACCCTTGGAGTTGGCTATGCCCGTGCGCCCCCTGGGGGTGCGGCTCGAGCCAGTCCGGGTCATCAAGCCCGGAGGTTGCGTTGCTCATCGCATCGTCGTCCGCCGACGATGCGCTTCCCGAGGACTCCTCTCGCAAGGGGCCAACAGGAGGAGGCGCGTCCCCTGACATGGACGCTGCTCTCTCCACTGGAGGGTAGGTTTCCACCCGCGGACTCGCTCCGTGCGAACTCGCTGTATGGGTAGTTTCATTCATAGCTATGGGCCCGCGCGCCGCGCGCAGGCCGATTGCAGGGCTCTCCCACAACCACGCTGACCCGGATCCCAGGACCAACGACAGAGGCGAAACGACACTCGGCCCGCCGACACAATTCGACCACTGGACACTATATCTAAATGCGGCGCAGGCCAATCTCAAGTCCCTTCTCAATTCTTCGCGGGTTTTGGTGCAGTCACCCTCCCCCGCGACACCGACAGCTTCTTTCGCCTTTCGGCGCAGCTCCGCCCTCCTCGCTGCATATCCTGGCCCCTCGAGTCTATCGAGCTCTCCTCGCGCAAGGACGAGTCTTCTGACGCCCACTGCGATCATTTGCCACCCAGTCATATCGTTGCTCAGGTCCACTCTAGGGGCCGCCTCTCGCGCGCTTTCATTTTTTTGGTGCCCAGCCCAGATCGCCCGAGCACATGACGCCGCTCGTCGCGCTCTGCTGCCTGCCCGCGCTCGGCTGGCACTCCAGCATAGCCCGCCCAGCCGTGCACAGCACGTCGGCCGTCTCGCGCCACTCTGGCCTCTTGCTGCAGAGCCTCGTGGAGCCCGGCTCGGCCGCAGACGCGAGCCCGACGCCGAGGCAGCCGCCGCGCGAGGGCAGAGGGCCTCCACGCCCGAGAGGGAGGGGGCGCGGCGGGCCGCGAGGCTCGTCGCCGGGCGGCCGCGGCCGCGGCGCGACGCTCGTCCTCACCAATCCCATGTACGCCAAGCGAATCAGGCCGCCGCCGCCGCCGCCTCGGGCGCCGCCGCCGGCGAGGCCTCCGCAGCAGCGCGATTCCCGCGGGCCCGCGAGGCCGGGCGGCGGGATGCAGAACGACGCGATCCCGGCCGCCGACGGGGGCCTCTCCGGCCCTCCGGCCGACGCGGACGCGGGCGACGGCGCGCCGGGCTCTGACCAGGGCCGGCGGCGCAAGGTGGGCGGAAAGGACCTGAAGAAGGGAGAGCTGGGGTCGGATCGGGCGCCGAAGAAGGGCGCGAAGGGGCGGGTGGGGAAGCGCGGGCTCCTCGATCGCGACGACGACGCGCCGCTCGCGACGGCACGCGCCGCCCGTCCCAAGAGGAAGGGCGGCGGCAGGCGCGGTGCGGCGGGGCAGCCGGCGGCGGTAGAGCCGACGGGACCGGTGCGCGTGCGGCTGGGCGAGAGCATCACGGTGAGCGAGCTGGCGGGGAAGCTGCAGGTGGGGATGGCGGAGGTGGTCAAGGTGCTCATGAAGCGCGGCGTCCTCGCCTCGGCGACTCAGTCCCTCGACGCAGACACCGCAGAGGAGCGAGACGCTTCCGAGACGCTTCCGAGACACGGCCGAGACACTTCAGTCCGCCGCAGAGGCGCGAGACACTTCCGCGACACGGCCGAGACACTTCCGCGACGCGGCCGAGACACTTCCGCGACACAGCCGAGACACTTCCGCGACACGGCCGAGACACTTCCGCGACGCCTCCCGCAGGCGGTCGCGCTGGCGTTTGGCGCAGACGTGTCGCGAGCGGGCGACGGCGCCGAGGAGGGCGAGGAGGGGGAGGCGGGCTCGTGGGGCGTGGTCGAGGAAGAGGACCCGCCCGAGTCGCTCGTCCGCCGTCCGCCCGTCGTCACTGTCATGGGGCACGTCGACCACGGAAAGACTTCGCTGCTCGACGCGCTGCGCACGACCGACGTCGCCGCGGGCGAGGCGGGAGGCATCACGCAGGCGATCGGCGCGTCGCGGGTGAGCGTCGAGGGCGGCGGCACGCTCACCTTCATTGACACGCCCGGCCACGCCGCCTTTGCGGAGATGCGCGCGCGCGGCGCCAACGTCACCGATATCGTCATCCTCGTCGTTGCGGGTATACGTCGCCCGAGATCGCAATCTCCCCAGGGTTCGGCTCCAGTGTGGGTAGGGGATGGGTGCCCAGCGACGCCGCGCGCCGCATCGTCAGACTCAGAGGAGCCTGGCTCCAGACCTTCTCCAGACCACTCTCAGCGACACTCTGGCCATGGCAGGCGACGACGGCGTCAAGGAGCAGACGGTGTCGTCGATCAAGGTACCCGCGCACCCATCCCCTACCCCCCACGGTATCCTAACCCATGCCCTACCCCCACGGTACCCGAACCCATCCCCCAACCCCCCACGGTACCCGAGCCCCCCACGGTACCCGAACCCATCCCCTACCCCTCATACCCGGACCCATCCCCTACCCCCGCGGTGCCGTCGGTCCAGGCGGCAAAGGCGGCGGGCGTGCCGATCGTCGTGGCGGTCAACAAGATGGACAAGCCGGCGGCGGACGCGTCGCAGGTCAAGACGCAGCTGCTGGAGCTAACCCTAACCCTAACCCTAACCCTAACCCTCTAACCCTAACCCTAGGTCAAGACGCAGCTGCTGGAGTACGAGGTGGTCCTCGAGGAGTTTGGCGGCGACGTGTTGTCCGCCGAGGTGTCTGCCGTCGCGCGCACCGGCCTGGACAAGCTGCTCGAGCAGGTGCCGCTGTAGTGGGGTATGGGTTCGGGTACCGTGGGGGTAGAGTGCACCGGCCTGGACAAGCCGCTCGAGCCGGTGCGAGATACGGGGAGATACGGGGAGATAGGGGGAGATAGGGGCAAGCTGCTCGAGCAGGCGGGACTCATACCCCACCCCCTCGGTACCCGAGCCCATCCCCTACCCCCACGGTACCCGAACCCATCTCCGCTCTCGCAGGTGCAGCTGCAGGCGGAGCTTCTCGATCTCAAGGCCAACCCGGACCGCGCCGCCGCCGGCGTGGTTGTCGAGGCGCGGCAGCAGCTCGGCCAGGGCGCCGTCGCAACCGCGCTCGTGCAGAAGGGCACGCTGCGGGTGGGCGACATCGTCGTGGCCGGCGCGCAGTGGGGCCGAGTGCGGAGGCTGCAGGACGAGCGAAACGAGGAGGTGAGTGAGTCGGGGCCGTCGACCGCCGTCGAGCTGGTCGGTCTCAACGGCCCGCGCGAGATGTAGCGAGAGGTAGCGAGATGCAGCGAGATGTGGCGAGAGGTAGCGAGATAGCGAGAGGTAGCGAGATGTAGCGAGAGGTGGCGAGATGTAGCGAGATGTGGCGAGAGATAGCGAGATGTCTTGGTCGGTCTCAACGGCCCGCGCGATTCGCGGCGGGGCTGGCTCCGATATATGCGACGCCGAGTCTCTCGAGCCTGGGCCAGGGTTCGGGGTACCGGGCAGGGTAGGGTACCCTACCCCAAGGTCTCAGCACTCCGCTAACACCAGCTAGTGCCACGAGCTGGCTCGGTGTCGCCACCAAGCACGGGGCGGCCTGAGCCAGAATGGGAGCGGCAGACGCGGCGTGGGAAGGTGGTGAAGCGGCCTTCGTTAGTACGTGGCCCCACTTGCCGACGCGCCCTAACTCCTTCGTGCCCTATAAGCCGCGCCGTGCTGGCCTTGCGGCTGCAGGCCTCCCCGCGGCGGGCGACGCGTTCATCGTGACTGGCGAGGAGACAAAGGCAATCGTGACACGCTCCGCGAGCCACTCCTTCGTATGTGCCGGTCATGGCGAGTCGCCAAGGAGACATAGGCGCGCCAGATAGCCGAGGTGCGCCAGCAGCTGCAGCGCGACGCGCGGGCGTCGAAGCTCTTCGCGTCGCGCTCGACCGCCGACCGCGACGCGTTCCTGTCGGGCCCCTCCTCGGAGCTGCCCACCAAGACGCTCGACTTCGTGGTCAAGAGCGACGTGCAGGTCAGCCATACCCCCGCGTGACCCGAACCCATCCCCTACCCCCACGGTACCCGAACCCAGGTCAGCCGCACCCCCGCGTGACCCGAACCCATCCCCTACCCCCACGGTACCCGAACCCATCCCCTTCGTGCAGGGGTCTGCGGAGGCGCTTTGCTCGTCGCTCGAGTCGATTGAGGTGTCGGACGACCTGCTGCGCGTGCGGACGCGCGTGCTGCGCTCGGGCGCGGGCGCCATCACTGCCGAGGACGTCATGCTCGCGTCCGTCTCGAACGCGGTCGTGCTCGGCTTCAACTCGGTGGCGGCGCGGCCGACGCGGGAGGCCGGCGGAGCAGAGAGAAAGAAAGAAAGCCGCCGGGCCCAAGGGGGGGGGGGGCGGGACGGCACGCCGCCACCACACAGGGATGTTTAGGAGAGGGGAGTGGTGGTGCTAGCCGTCGCCCACCCTTTGGCGTCTGCCTCTTCCTCTCTCTCCTCGCAGCCCCTCGCCGATTCTCGCTGCAACCTTCATGCCACCTCGCGGTCGTCCCACTCTCGTCGTTCTCTCCCTTGTCACTTCCCCCTCTGTCGCGTCGTTCTCTTCTGCCTCGTCCTGCGACGGCACCGCCGCCTGCCGCTCCCTCGCTCTCGCAGGCGGCGGAGCAGTGCAACGTCGAGATCAAGGAGTACTCGATCGTGTACGACCTGCTCGACGACGTGCGCGCGCTCATGTGCACCCACATCCGACCGCCGCCGAACAAGGCGCTCGGCTCGCTCACGGGCACGGCGGACGTGCTGCAAACCTTCAAGATTGGCGCCGTCGGGAAAGTGGCCGGCTGCAAGGTGCTGCTCACGCCTCTCCCTCCCTCGCTCTCTCTCTCTCTCCCCCTCTCTCCCTCTCTCCCTCTCCCTCTCTCTCTCTCTCTCTCTCTCTCTCTCTCTCTCTCTCTCTCTCTCTCTCTCTCTCTCTCTCTCTCTCTCTCTCTCTCTCTCTGCAAGGCGCGGGAGACAAAACGAAACACGAAAGCACCCGCCCCGACTCGCCTCCTTCCACCTCACCTCCTTCCACCTCACCTCCTCTCTCGCCTCGTCCCGCGAGGTGCTCGACGGCACCGTGCGCGCGGGCAGCAACATCCGCATCCTCCGCGGCAACGCGGTCGTGTACGAGGGCAAGCTGCTCGCGCTGCGCTACATCAAAGACGAGGTCGAGCAGATCGACGCCGGCTCCGAGTGCGGCATGGCCTTCGAGGGCTTCCAGACGATGCAGGCCGACGACCGAGTCGAGGCTTACGACCCGAGCGGCGCCCCCGGCGACGACTGAGGCCAGGGGCTCGCCCACCCTCGGGGGTAGGGGATCCCCGGCCCACCCCGGTCCGAAACCCACAGCGAGCCGGGCTGCATGCATGGAGGGGGGGGGGGGGGGGAGCCTTACGGCGCTGGGGCTCGGGACTAGCTGCACGCCGCCCGGAGAGGAGCTCTGGCCTCTGCCGCCCGCCCTCGCGCCCGTGATCGCTCGCGCACTCGAGCGACACCCTCTGCCCTCGCTGCTCCTGGTCACCTGGTGCCTGGCGCGAGGCGCCCGCGAGAGGAAAGAGCTCTGTTCGTATATGCGTGTACATCCAACGCTGTCTCGAGTCGTGACACCGAGCGCAGATCTCGCAATGTCGTCTAGATGATCCCGAACTGGAATCTGATTCTGAAAAGCCCGCCCCCGGCCCCCGCCCGCGACGGCGCGAGAGGCGAGAGTGTCCCGGCCCCCCGGCGGCGGCGCGCGCGCGGCCGCGGGCCTTGGGGCTGCGTGGTGCGTGGCCGTGGGCGAGAACCGAGATGGGTCAAAGTAACTAAGTTGCAAGTCCCTGGGTCCAGGCTCCTGCATGCTCCTCGGCCTCTTGCGTCTTGGTTGGCACTTGGATCGGCCCTCGGCCTGCCTCGCCAGCTGGAAGCACGAAAGGCGCACATCTGTACGTCGACCGTCGGGAGGCTCGAGAGCCGCACAGGCACACGGTACACATAGGCTGCGGTCTTCTATGGTATTACAAACGTGGCTGGTGTGTGTCAGACAGCAGACAGCACCCTGACAGCTCACCACCCGACAATAGACCTAACACCCGACAGTGCACCCGACAGCACCGGCCCTCTCCCTTGGTCCCTTCTCTCCCAGTAAGCTAAAAGTACAACTGTGCCCGACGTGAGCGAACACATTACCGCCAGCAAGCGAGATGGGGCGAGATGGGGCGAGATGGGGCGAGATGGGGCGAGATGGGGCGAGATGGGGCGAGATGGAGCGAGATTTGGAGCGAGATTTGGAGCGAGATCCGCCGGCGGGGGCCCCGATCCCCGCCCCGGAGCCGACCGCGGACGGCCGACCCCGCGCCCGTCGTGGCGTCGAATTCTCATCGGGACGCGGCTCGCGGGGGCTCTCTCGGCTACGGACGGCCTACGGGACCGGCCCCAGCTTCGGCTGAGGGCTGCGGTAGAGCCCGACCGACAAGCTTGCCGAGCCTGACGCTGACCTCCCGAACGATGCGCGAACCGCGAAGGAGCGGTGCCGGTGCGGGGTCCTCAGACCTCACCCCGGCGGCCCACGCACGCCGTCTGAGCCTAGCGCAGCGCGAACTCGCTCTCAGCCTAGCGACCCTGAACGGGTGGTAAAAGGCGGCATGAGCGTCGAGGCCGGGCATGAGCGGCCTAGCCTACCGTCTGACCTCGCGGTTGGCGACCTGGCCTGGCTGCGCGCCCTCCTCTCCGGGCGGCGGACGTGCGGCAGGCTCGACGCGCGGCTCGACACCGAGAACCACAAGTCCAAGACACGCTGCTCACCTGGGCCGCTCGGCACGGTCAAGCCGAGGCGGCGCGGCTGCTGCTCGAAGCCGGCGCGAGCGTCGGGGCGACGAATGGCACCGGCCGCGCCGCGCTGTTCATCGCGTGCCAGGAGGACTGCCCCGAGATCGCCGCGCTGCTTCTCGAGGCTGGCGCGGCGGTCGACCAAGCCGGTGAGGACGGCGCCACGCCGCTGTTCATCGCGTGCCAGAACAACGGCCTCGAGTGCGCCCACCTTCTCGAGTAAGATTTTTTCTCCACCCTAAGTCGCACTTTTCTGGGCTCTTCGGCTTGTTTTTCTTCTGGCGGCATGAGCGGCGCCATCCCAACCCGCCTCGCCGACCTGGCTCGGGGCGACCTGGCATGGCTGCGCGCCTTCCTCTCCGGGCGGCGGACGCGCGGCACGCTCGACGCGCGGCACGACACCGACAGGCAGGACACGCTGCTCACCTGGGCCATTCGGCACGGGCAGGCCGAGGGGGCGCGGCTGCTGCTCGAAGGCGGCGCGAGCGTCGGGGCGACGAATGATGACGGCGCTTCCGCGCTGTATATCGCGTGCCAGGAGGGGCAGATTGAGTGCGCCCGGCTGCTCGTCGAGGCTGGCGCGGCGACCGACCAGGCCGACGCTGAAGGCGCCACGCCGCTGTTCATCGCGTGCTACAAGGGCCACCTCGAGATCGCGCGGCTGCTCCGCGGCGCTGGCGCTGACATCAACCAAGCCGAGGAGGAGGGCGCCACGCCGCTGTTCGCGGCGTGCCACTTCGGCCACCTCGAGGTCGCCCGGCTGCTCCTCGAGGCTGGCGCGGCGGTGGCTCATGCAAACGCTGAAGGCTTCACGCCGCTGTTCGTCGCGTGCTACAAGGGCCACCTCGAGATCGCCCGGCTGCTGCGCGACGCTGGCGCTGACATCAACCAGGCCCAGGAGAGCGGCGCCACGCCGCTGTTCATCGCGTGCGAGAACGGCCACCCCGAGTGCGTCCAGCTCCTCCTCGAGGCCGACGCTGACATCAACCAGGCCCAGGAGAGCGGCGCCACGCCGCTGTTCATCGCGTGCAAGAACGGCCAGCTCGAGTGCGCCCAGCTGCTGCGCGACGCTGGCGCTGACATCAACCAGGCACAGGAGAGCGGCGCCACGCCGCTGTTCATCGCGTGCGAGAACGGCCAGCTCGAGTGCGCCCAGCTGCTGCGCGACGCTGGCGCGGCCATCAACCAAGCCAACCAGACCGGCGCCACGCCGCTGTACATCGCGAGCCAGAACAACCACCCCGAGATCGCCCGGCTGCTCCTCGAGGCTGGCGCAGCGATCGACCAGGCCTGCGGCAACGGCGTCACGCCGCTGTGCATTGCGTGCTGGCAAGGCCACCTCGAGATCGTTCGGCTGCTCCTCGAGGCTGGCGCGGCAACCAACCAAACCCAGCAGAACGGCGCCACGCCGCTGATCATCGCGTGCCAGAACGGCCACCTCGACATCGCCCGGCTGCTGCGCGACGCTGGCGCTTCGCTCAACCAGGCCACGGAGGACGGCGCCACGCCGCTGTACATCGCGTCCCAGCAAGGCCACCTCGACATCGTTCGGCTGCTCCTCGAGGCGGTCGCGGCGATCAACCAGGCCAGCGCCAGAGGCGCCACGCCGCTGTACATGGCGTGCCAGAACGGCTACGTCGAGATCGTTCGGCTGCTTCTCGAGGCGGGCGCGGCAGTCAACCAAGCCGCGGAGGACGGCGCCACGCCGCTGTACATGGCGTGCCAGAACGGCTACGTCGAGATCGTTCGGCTGCTTCTCGAGGCGGGCGCGGCAGTCAACCAAGCCGCGGAGGACGGCGCCACGCCGCTGCTCATCGCGTGCCAGCAGGGCCACCTCGAGTGCGCCCGGCTGCTCCTCGAGGCTAGCGCAGCGATCAGCCAGGCCGATGAGGACGGCGCCACGCCGCTGTACATCGCGTGCCAGGAGGGCCGCCTCGAGTGCGCGCAGCTGCTCCTCGAGGCGGGCGCTTCGGCAAGCCAAGCCCGCAACGACGGCGTCACGCCGCTGCTCATCGCGTGCGAGAAGGGCCACGTCGAGTGCGCGCGGCTGCTTCTCGAGTCGGGCGCGGCGAAGGACCAAGCCAAGCAGAATGGCGCCACGCCGCTGTACATGGCGTGCCAGAACGGCCACCTTGACATCGCCCAGCTGCTCCTCGAGGCTGGCGCGGCGGTCGGCCAAGCCTCGAACAACGGCGCCACGCCGCTGCTCATTGCGTGCCACAACGGCCACCTCGAGTGCGCCCAGCTGCTCCTCGAGGCCAACGCGGCGGTCGGCCAAGCGACGAACAACGGCGTCACGCCGCTGCTCGTTGCGTGCCAGCAGGGCCACCTCGAGGTCGCCAAGCTCCTCTCCTCCTACGGCGCCTCCCGCGCCGCGGTGCCGCCCTTCGGCACGCCCGAGGAGGTCGCGAACCGTCAAGGCCACGCCGACCTCGCCGCTTGGCTGGTCGCCAGCCGCGGCTGGACGCCGCTCGCGCACCTTGAGACCCTCACCGCCGCCCGCGCTCTCTCCCTGCTGCGCAGCGGCGCAAGCCTGCACGAGGGCGAGCCGACGCCGCTGCAGCGCACCGCGGGCGGCGAGGGCGAGGTGGCGGCGCTGGTCCGGCGGGCGGCGGCGCCGTGGTCGCCGGCAAGCCACTCGCTCTTCCCCGCGGCGGCCCGCGCGCGGGCGGCGCTCCTCGTCGTCTCGCTCTACGAGATCCACGAGCGGCACCATCTCGACTCGGCAGGAAACACGAACGGCATCGCGGCGCGCGACTTTGTCACGTGCGTGCTGCGCTTCGCGATCACGCGCGAGACGGAGTAGGGGAGCACTGTGGTGGCCCCTCTCACCTTGGCACCGCCGCGGCGGCCTCTCCTGTTGTTTAGTACTAACTGGATCGGACTGCTTGCAGGTCCGTCCGTGAGCTCCCTGGGTTGCACTGGGGTAGAGCATGCGTAGTAAATGTGTTGCACAAACCATGACCCGCACATGAGGCCCGCCCTCTAATCGACCCCCCTTTGACCCCTGTGTTAAGTGACTCCAAACAAACCAGCCTGTGTTAAGTCACTCCAAACAAACAGAAACACTGCTTTCTGATGCCGCTCTTGGAGCACTTGGAGTGATGTCATTACCTTTACGGCTTTAACACCTGGCATGTTGTGCGAGTATATCTAAAGATATAAGGGCCTCGCGTCGTCCGCGACTTATCCCCGTGACCCCCAGAACTCGCGGACCCGAGGAGTCTCGAGCTTCAGCTGGCGATCCATCATGCCGCTCTCGGCACCGCAGCAGCGCGAGCGCCGCGCCGCGCAGCGCGCTGCCGAGGCTCAGGACGCGGCTCGCGGGCAGCGCAACCGCCCGGCGCCGAGCCGGTGCTAGGCCGCCTCCGCTGCGCCTGCTTCCTTGCGCGCCGCTGGACGTCGGCCGAGAAGACCGCTTCCCTCTGGGGACCCGACTCCGCGAAGATCGCGCGCGCGTCGTGAGTGGCGGCGCGCGCGCGATCTCCGTTCCCGGGCACGCCGGTCGCAGTGGCATGGGCTCCCAGGCTCAAAAGCGCTCCCGTCAACAGCGAGCGAGCGCCGCCGCTGCTCCTCCTCCCGCCGCCGCTCACCGAGACTCGGTGCCGCCGTTCTCGCCGCCGCCGCCGCCGCCGCCGCCGCCGCCGCCGCCGCCTCGCGCCTCGCCTCCGTCACCGCCGCCCTCCATCTCGCAGCGGCGCGTCCCTCTGATGGCGCGGGCGCCTCGCTCACCGGCGCCTCGCCGCCGCCCCCCCCCCTTCTCGCGCCGCTCCGCTCGTGGCCGCCGCCTCCCCTGTCAATCCCGCCGCCTCCCCTGTCATCCCGCCGCCCGCACCACCGCCGCCACCGCCTCGCGCCTCGCCGCCGCCGCCACCGACCGCCCTCTCCCCTACGCCGCTCTGAGCGCGGTGCAGGGGGCGAGCCCCCGCGGCGCAGCCTCACCGCAGTGCACTGCGCTCTCCGCGCCCCTGACGATTAGTGAGGAGGTGGTGTTGCACAGCATGGAGCTCGGCGAGCGTTTAGCGAGCCCCTCAGCTAGTGGGACAAAAGCGTCGAAAATGTCCGAAAAAAGCGTGTCTCGAGTTTGTGGCAGCTCCGGAGCCAGCGCGGGCTGCCAGGACGCACCACTCGCGCGTTCGGCGCACTCCCTGGCACCCAGGGAGTGCGCCTAACCGACCAGACCGAATAGGCTCGATGCCGCGCTCGCTGTGGAGCTGCCACAAACTCGCCGCCGAGCGTGCCACCGACGGCGTCCTGGCGGAGGTGGTGGAGTTTGAGACCTGAGGCTGCGGAGGTGACGCCTGAGGTACCGGGCCGTGCACGGCGACTCAGCCGGCGACCGCCACGGGCTCAGACGAGACTTGTCGACGCGTTCCGGCTCAGCTTCACCGTGGTCCTCGGGCGTCTGTCGACGTCAGGACCACCCATACAGCTCGCGGGTTTGAGGTCGCAAGAGCCAAGATGGTGGCGTTTGGACATCCCAACCATCACACAAGATAGCCTGTAGGTGGTGGCGGGACGGCGCAGTGTTTGTGGCACTCGGCAGTAGGCACCCGCGGCACGGCCCCGCTGTCGGCTCTCGCGGGCTGCGGAACCGGCCCCAGAGGGGGACGGTCCGGGCGAGTGTGGCAGCTCCTGCGCTAGTATGGGCAGCCTCTATCATAGCACTACTGATCCTGGTCATTAGAGCTGCCAGGGATAGCGTCGAGTCAAAACCCCTCATATTTGAGACATCGTGTCCCATATACTCGCACAACGAGCCACCTCCCGGCGCGCCAAGCTGGCGGACGGCCACGTCAAGGCGCATCGCGGTTTCTACCACGACGCGATCTTTTTCGTTTTTGTCAAGCGCAAGGCAACTTCAACCTGCTGCTCCACGAGACGTTCGGCGGCGGCTTCTCGCCCACCGCCGTTCTCAAGCTGCGCCGCCTCGCGCGCAAAGTCGCGCGCGGCAGCGTTGACCGCACGGCCTACTCGCCCAAGTACTCGCTCTCTTTTATGTCCCACCATGCAGAGCGCATCTCTCTCTCTGTTGTGCGAGGTGTGAACCGCGCCATTCGCTCTCACCTGGCAACCCTGTCTGCACGTCTCGCGCGCGCGTCTGCACCGTGCCGGGCCCTGTCTGCACCGACAAGACGAGCACCGACAAAAATATAGCAAGCGCGCACCGACAAGAGAGCCGCGCGCCGATGCTTTCCCACCCAGGGGACAGGGCTCTAGATGCTGTTGGCGCTGTCAGAGCGCCACCGAGATCGTTCCTCTATGAAGAGTTCCCTCCCTCGGCCTGCACGCGCGCCGCGAAGTGGACTCGTCACAACAGGGCGCCGCGTCCAGCATCGAGCGCCGCCGCGTCCCCGTGCACCTCCCAGCTGTCTGGCCGCAGCAGCGTGCCGCAGTCCTCGCACCGAAAGCAGGCCTTGTGAAAGATGAGGTTGTCGCCGCGGTGCGTCCTCGCGAGCTGCCGCTCCATCGCGTAGACTGGCTCCGCGCAGCGGACGCAATGGCTCCCTCCCACGCGCGCCGGTGCTCGTCGATCATCTGGCAGGCGGCCTCGTGCACCGCCAGGGCAGCGCGGCTCATCGGCACGGTGCAGACAGGGCGTGGTGCAACCAGTGGAAGCACCATCGGCTCAGAAAGAGCTCAAAGAACACCGATGCTGCCCGAAGCAGATGAGTCACGGCCGCTAGGACAGGGAGAGCGCGGCGGGCCAGAGCGCAGAGGAACGTCAAGGAGAAAATTCACAGAATGATTCGCTCTCTTCCGTCTTTTCGGCGAAGTTTCAGGATGGATTTTTGAGGCAATCAAGAAGAAAATCTGCAAAAATTTCTTCGGCGCGGCGACATACCTTGTGTCCGGATTGGTGTTGCGAGCTTTTTCTTGTTCATCGGCCCGTTCTGCCACTGTCCCCGCGATCCGTTCGTTCGGCGTCTCGTCGGCGCGCGCGGCCCAGGACCGGATTGTCGATCACTCACGTCGGACGCCCCGATGGAAAACACAGGCTCTTCGCCGCTCCTCGCCGAGGGCCGGCACATCGCGGGCCCCGCGACCGACTTCAAGGACCACTTCTTCGACGGCCAAGACGTGCTCAAGACGTACGAGATCGATTACGACGCGGTTGCCGCCTTCGATACAGAGGTCGCATGGTCCAACTTCGTCGGCATGGCGTTCTTCCCACCCACGCTACCGTTCGCGCTGCTCGGATGCGCAACGTACTCATGCCTCACCGTTCCAAACGTCCGTGATGCGACCAACGCCACGCATCTCGCCATCACACGCGATGGCATCAAGTACGTCGTGGACCGCCACCACGCCGCATGCCGTCTCGACTGCCAGGAGGTGGGCCGCACCTCGAAGACAATTCCATTCGACAAGATGACCGACTGCGACATCGAGGAGCCGGCAGGCTCGGTGGGCGCGTGCTGCTACTTGGTGCCGCGCACGTTCAAGGTCGTTCACGTCGACACGGCCTCGTCGGGTTTCGTAGCCTCGTCAAGCGATGGGCCAGCCGTGGAGAAGCACGAGTTGACGCTGCGCGGGCTCAAGGACCCCGACCTCTTCAAGAGCGATGTCTGGGCGATGAAGCGCGGCGAGCCGGTGGACGGTGTCGACGGCACCGTCGCCCCGATGGCCGTATCGATGCATCGTGGCGGTGACGCGCCGCCGAGCCGCTTCCCACTGTCGTCGGTCCCCTCGGACGGCACCAAGGTGCTCGCGCCGCTGCTCGAGGAGCAGACGTCTCTGCTCAAGGACCTCCTCGCCGCGCAGCGAGAGACCAACGAGCTGCTCAAGGCGGGCCGGCCCGTCCAGTGATGAGGCGCCGAATCCCGTGGACGCCTGTGGCGACGTGCCACTCTTGCGATGTGAGCTGCGCCGGGTCGAGTCCGGTCCGCATGCCCACACACTGTGATCTGTGATCTGTGTCGGACTGTCGTTTCGTCGTGCGTCGTGTCAAAAGTGCCATGTGTGTTCATTCAGTCTCCAATAGCAGTGCGCGATACTCGACCCCGACCGCCGGCCGAAACAGCCGCGTCCAACCCGACCTGCGGCCGGCCGAAAATCATTTTCAGTGTATGTAGCTCTTACGTACCTTCCCGGAGGAGCACTGCTGACGGATTTTGTGCGCGGACTTGTATCTAGATACGCCCGCGAATATTTCTCAGATTTATTTTGCATGACCCCTGAAGGGTAAGGCTTAGGGTGGGCGAGGGCTAACACCACACGCTCCTCTCCTTAAAATCCCTGTGTGGTGGCGGCGTGCCGTCCTCCCATCCCTCCCTTGGGTTGTCTGTTTTCTTTCTTTCTTTTTTTATACGTACAAGACAGTAGATAGACAGAGTAGAAGGATCTCCGACCGCGTACCTCCGTCTATATATCTGTGGTACATGATGGTACAATACCGCCGCCACCTTGCCTCTCTCAAAAGGCAGTGGCGAAGATCGCCTCGGCGGGGTCCACCGCCGCCACTTTGTCGTCCTTGCAGTACTTGCGGCGCTTGGCGCGCGGCACGTCGTCGGTGTCGTCGGGCAGCACGCCCTCGATCAGGCGGTGCCTGGTGGGCACGAAAGTCGTCACCGCCGACGCAGGCTTGACCTGCAGCGCGAGCGCCTCCTTGATCAGCTGGGCCACCACCGCGTTGCCCTGCTGCAGCCGCTTGAGCGCGGCGGAGGGGCGAAGCAGTGAGACGAGCGGGAAGCGCACGAGCGGCATCACGCGGCTCACTACTTCCTCCGTGCGGCCCGCACGCGACGCCCAGCGCAGGGCGTGCTCGAGGACGGCGCTCTCACTGGCCACGACGAGCTTGTCCTGCGCGAGCACCATCGAGAAGGACGCTGCGTCGAGCTCAAACAGGCTGCCGTCCGCGACGGCCTTAGGGAGGAACACTGCCGTCAGCTCGGCGAGCGCGTGGCACGCGGAGCCGAGATGGCGGAGCCGCGATGGCGGGGATGCCACGGGCAGCGCCGCGTGCATGGCGTCCCGAAGCCGCGTCCGCAGAGTGTTGACGCCGCCCGACGTGTCCAGCCCCCGCTCGCTGAGCTGCTCCTTGAGCGCGCTCGTGTCGGCGGCCGCGGCGTTAAAGTCGCACGCGTGCGCGCGCAAGCAGAGGAGCAGCTCGGCGGGGGAAAGGGGCTCGTTGACGCTCTCGGTGGCGAGGAGCCACATGTTGAGGACGTCGGCCTTGCGCTGCCGTGCGGGGACGGTCACCGTGCCGCGAACGGTGATCTTGCCCTCTACGGCGGCGGTCGGGATCTCCTGGGGTGAGAGGAAGTCATGCCAGCCGAAGCCCTGCCCCGCCGGCAACGTAGACATCCCGGCATCGTTGTCGCCCCTCCACTCCTTGTTGTTGGCTTTGATGGCGAACTCCACCTGCTTGCCCGCGACGTGCCCCACGTTCTTCATGTAGAGGCCGAGAGAGCCGTCGTCAATGGCTCCTCGCCCAAAGCCAATGCTCGCCCAGAGCCAATGCTCGTCAAACTTGACTCCATCTCGGTCGCGAGGCCGCCAAACGAGGTCTTTGCTCAGCGGGCCGAAGAAATCGATTTGGCTGCCGGTGTAGCCGGGCGACGTGATGTCAATGGCGAGGTCCGGCACGGTCACCGTGTCCTCCGTGACGTTGCTGACAACCTCGAGGATGGAGCTGAGGCCCAGCGTCTTGAAGGCGGGCTGCAGCGCGCCCATCGGCATGAGGCGTGCAAGCGCCGCCGCGGCATCCTCGCGCAGCTTCTGCCAGCCTGCGCTCGCGGCGTCAGCCTCGACGTGCTTGTCGGCGGCGGCGAGGACCAGCGCCGCCGAGCGTGCGTCCAACTTGTTTCGCAGGGCAGACGCTGTGGAGCGAAACACTGCGCCGAGCTCCCACCGAGCCGCGAGCTCGCAGGCGCCGAGCAGGACGACCGCATCCGCCTCGTCGTCTGCGCAGGCCGCGCAGTGTAGCGACTTCATGACGTGCTCGAGGACAGAGAGCGTCGCCTCCGTCTTGATGGTGCCACTCTGAGCCTCGGCAGTGTGCGCGGCGAACATGCGCTCCAGGACGCGCGAGTTGCTTGTGAGCACGTGCCGCAGCGCAGGAACGGCAGTATTGCCATCGAGAGAGAGCAGCTTGACGTCGGGCCTGAAGCTGAGCTGTGCCAGCGTTCGGCCTTGCTCTTGCTGCCGGCGCAGCTCGTCTTGCAAACGGGTCACCTCCTGCATGACTTCGCTCTCAACCGCATCCACGCGCGAGTTGAAGTTGTTAACCTCGGCTGAGCGCTGCCGCACGGCTCGGAGCCTGACGAGGCTGGCGGCGAGGCTCTCTGGGAGGCCCTGCTGCATCAGATAGTCTTGATGGCGGAAGACCTGCCGAAAGAAAACACTTTTTCTGCGCGCACCGCCTCCGCCCCCACCGCTCGACGGCTAGCGCATCACACTCCTCTCCTTAAAATCCCTGTGTGGTGGCGGCGTGCCGTTCTCCCATCCCTCCCTTGGCCTGTCTGTTTTCTTTCTTTCTTTCTGCCCCCACCGCTGGAACGGCCGCTGGGTCGAGGGGCCGCCCCTGAGGCTCCACACCAAGCGCTGCGGCCGCCAATACCGCCGCCGTACCCGCCACCCCCGCCACCGCCTCCGCCCCCGCCGCCGGCGTGGCGGTCACCGTACGGACCCGCGCGGACCTGGGGGAACCCGGAGCCGCCCCGTCGGAGGTTGAGGTTGGAGTACCCGGGGGAGGGGACCGAGGGGGGAAATGATAACGGGTACGCCGGCGAGCCGGGGTGGTGGTTCGACACCGAGTTTGAAAGATCTGTTTCTCTACGTCTCTCTTCACAGGAAAATCCTGTGAAGAAAAGCGGAGAAAAATGAGAAACCTTTCTGCCTCGGCTTCCGTCGGTATACTCCGAAGCGTGCGATGGATTTGCCACCTTGACGCCTTGATCCAACACGTTGGCGATCCAGGACGCGTTGGCGATCCAGGACGCCCAAAGCCCTCACCGTTTGCCAATGGCCTTCACACTGGCCTTCCTAGTCTCCGCTGTTGCCGCACGCCGGTCGAGCATCTCGAGCCCGACAGCTTTCGTCAACACCTCTCTTCCCCGCGCTGGCGGTGAGCGGCGGGCGATTGACAGACCGGCAAACGCTTCTCGAGCCACAAGCCAGGAGCACAAGATCGAGGCACCGCCCGATGCGGTGGCCACCCCTCGTGGGTCGACTGACCTCTTCTCCTTCTCGAGTGAGATTCCCGACTGGCGGGGCGCCTGCGCCTCCGTTGACCGCGCCGACCTCGAGGTCGAGCAGGTCGAGCTCGAGCGGAGTGACCAGGCATCGGCGACCCGCAGTGCACTCGCCACGTCGCCGCACTGCGTATTCGCCCACCCTTCGCCCCTCTAGAACACCTCATGCGCCGCTCTACCCTGCCCTGACTGCTCTGAGCGCTGCCCTGACTGCTCTGAGCGGCATTCGCTTCTATCACTCATCGCGCCTCCTCCTGCGCGCCTGACGGAACCCCCCCCTCTCCCTTCTCAGGGAGAGAGCGAGGCACCCGACATGGACACGACCGGCAGCGCTCCCTGGTACCGCCTTGTGGGTTCCCTCGTGCTCGAGTCCGGGGAGCCACCCGGCTGCTGGGCCGCCCCTGGCATGGAGCGCGCGGACCAGGCGATCAGCGTGGACCAGGCGATCAGCGTGAACCAGGCGATCAGCGTGGACCAGGCGATCAGCGTTGCTCTCTGCCGCGCCGCCGCATCGCGTATCGCCAACCCGTCACACCCCTCTGGCCTGCCTGCCGCACGGCCTGCCCTGCGTGCCATGCCAAGCCACTCGCTTTCACTCATCGCGCCTCTTCCAGCGTGCGTGACGGACTGTCGCACGCGCTTGCCTTTCCGCAGGCGGAGATCAACACGGCCGAGACGAACACGGCCGGCAGCTCTCCCCTCCTCATCGGTGCCCTCATGGGGTGCCTGGGCTTCTCTGTCGTGGCGCTGTCGTGGAGCGGCTCCTCGGCCAGCAAGACTGGCCCCGACAAGGTCGACGGCCAGAAGCGCTCGAGGCGCGCCAAGGAGAACGAGGTCGTGGCACTGACTGGCAGCACTCAGATCTTCTTCTTCTTCTTCTACTTTGTCGCAATGGTCGGCTTGTGCGGCGTGGCCTACGAGGCCTTGAATACTCGGGGGCGCGGCGCCATGTCGGGTCTCCTATCCGTCAACAGCATCGTGCCCGACTCGTGTGCGGCCGACGCAGCTTGGCAGGCCCGGAGGCTGGTCGAGACGGGCCTCGTCGGCGCGGGAGCCTTGCTGCTCAAGCCAACCGCCGCACACGTCCGTGTGGCCGCCGCCGCGCTGCTCGTCGGCAGGGCGGCCGCGCAAGATGTGTGTGGCGAGTGCGTCGCGTGCAAGTGCGTCGAGTGCGTCGATGGGATCCCTTCGGGATGCTATCCCTACGATCCTACCTACGGGCCCGTGGACGCTGAAGAGTGCATACTCTACGGTGGCATTGATTGCTCCGTCTCATCGCCATCGCTGCCGCCGCTGCCTCCACTACCGCCACCCTCTTCGCCGTCGCCACCCTTTCCGCCGCCGCCGCCGCCGCCGTCGCTGCCCCCGCTACCGCCGCTTCTTCCACCATTACTGCCGATCTCTCCGCCACCAACCTACGCCGCAAGCACCTTCACCGAGCTCCGCGACTCGGTCAACAACCAAACCGGCAAGCCTGGCGACCTCGTCGTCGAGCTGCCAGAGGGAGCCCGCCTCGAGTGGGCCGTCTGCTCGCAGCTTCGCGTGCACTCCGTGCACATGACTCTGCGGAGCGTGGGCGCCGGCGCAACCCTCGACGCCATGAACTGCTCCCGCCACTTTGACGTCGCCTTTGGCGGCACGCTCGAGCTCGAGCGCGTGCACCTCGTCAACGGCGGTGCGCAGGCGAGCGGCGGGGCGGTCAAGGTGCGGCACGGCGGGACTTTGATTGCGACCGAGTCGTCGATCGAGGGGTCGAGTGTAGTCTCGCTCGACGGCGCGGCGTACGGCGGCGCCATCGACGCCTCGAACGAGATGGCGATTGACAGGGTACTGGAGAAGCTGAACGCACACCGCAGCAGCATCACCTCGGTCGCCCACTCGCCCGATGGGAGCCGCATCGCCACGGTCGGCAACGACAAGGCGCTGCGCGTGTGGGACGCCTCGGACCTGTCCTCGCCGCCTCTGCAGAGGCTGAACGCACACAGCAGCATCATCTTCTCGGTCGCCTACTCGCCCGATGGGAGCCGCATCGCCACGGTCGGCAGCGACAATGCGCTGCGCGTGTGGGCCGCCTCAGACCTGTCCTCGCCGCCTCTGCAGAGGCTGAACGCACACAGCAGCAGCATCTCCTCGGTCGCCTACTCGCCCGACGGGAGCCGCATCGCCACTGTCGGCTACGACGGTGCGCTGCGCGCTTGGCCAATATCCTACTTGTACCTGCAGCGTGACCCGCAGCTCCCGCCCCACGTCGAGTTGACATCCGTCACCGTCGCTCGTTGCGCCGCCGTCGGCCACAAGCGTGCAAGCGGCGGTGGGCTCTCGTTGCGATCTGGCGATCACGCCCTGACCGCTTCCACGATCACAACGTGCGCGGCCACCTCCAGCGCCTCGGCATCGGGCGGTGGACTCTTTGTCCGCGACGCGACGTTTGCCATCCAAGGCGCCGCCTTCGTTGACAACGACGCCACCGTCGGCGCTGCCATCGCATACGAGTCTGGCCCGACCTTTGACGCGGTGTCGACGCTGAGCAGCACGCGGTTCGTGGGAAACAGCACGAGCACCGTTTTCTTTCCCTCAGCCATCACTTGGGAGTGCAACCTCGGTCAGTGGTCGTCAACAGTCGGAGAGGTCTCGGGCGACTTTGAGGGCTGCGCCAACCTCTGCGCGGCGGGATCAGTGGGGACAACTACCTCTCACATCACCCCCACGTGCGGTGGGCCGTGTCCGCAGGGCAGGTATTGTCTTGAGGGCACAGTGACACCGACACCCTGCGCAGCGGGCTTCTACATGCCCGTCACCGGCGCAGCCAGTGCCGAGTCGTGCATCCCGTGCTCTCCGGGGCACAGCCAGTCCAATCCTGGCGCAGACAGCTGTGACGCCTGTCCGGCCGGCACATTCGCGAACCAGCTCAACGCGACGGGCTGTACGGATTGCCCCGCGGGAAGCTTCTGCCGGCACATAGGCACCGTTCAAGCGCTCGAGTGTCCTGCGGGCCGATACCAAAACGAGACGCGTCGGACCGAGTGCAAACAGTGCCCCCCCGGCCGATTCCAGCCAGAGCGCGGGCAAACCTCATGCGACAGGTGTGACGCGGGAGGGTTCTGCGATAATACCGAGGAATGCGGCGGCGGCTTCACGCCGTGCCGTGCGGGGACGTACAATGAGGAGGAGGGCAGCAGCTCGTCCGATGCCTGTCAGCAGTGCCCCCTCGGAACCTTCAGCCCGACCACCGGCGCAAACAGCAGCGGCACGTGCAAAAGCTGCCGCGCCGGGAGCTTTGGCGCCAGCCCCGGGCAGAGTGAGTGCGAGCTGTGCGCCCAGGGCTACTACCAGAGCGAGCCCGGCCAGGCCGCCTGCGTCCGCTGCGCGTCTGGCAAGTATTGCCCGTTGGGTTCGTCGCGCGAGCTGGACGCGCAGTGCGAGGCGGGCACGTCCGCCAACGTGACGGACGCCGACGGCGACCCCGAGTGCCTCGCCTGCCCTGCCGGCTCGTCGTGCGCAGGAGGTGGCGCCGCGCCTGCCGTGTGCTCTCCAGGCAGCATCGCCTCGTCAGCCAACATGTCCACGTGCGAGCTGTGCCCGAAAGGCAACTTCGCAGCCTCCACTACCGCTTGCGAGGAGTGCGAGGCGGGCACCTACGCGGCGAGCGACGGCCTCTCGCAGTGCACTCCCTGCCCCCACCCCCTCAGCTCTAAGAGCGGCGATGTCACCTGCTCCATCTGCAAAAACGACTTCTACTTGAAGGACGCGAGCGCCCTCCCGGATGACGTCTTCCAGAACCCAACCGAGCACTGCAAGCCGTGCCCACCCAACGCCAACTGTAGCGCCGGTACCGCTCTCGCGTCCCTCGGCGTGCACGTCGGCTACTGGCGCGCCTCCAACGCCACCTCGGAGCTTCACCACTGTGACTCAGAGACGTGCTCTGGTGGCTCCGGCCAGCCCTCCCGCCGCCGCCACCTCACCGACGGAGATGACGACCCGTACTGCACCGCCGGCCACACCGGCCCGCTCTGCGAGGTCTGCGTCGCGGACTCGGACTACTTTAGCTCTGCCGCGGGGCGCTGCGTCGCCTGCCCCTCGACGGCTCGCTCCGTCAGCGTCTTCCTCCTCTTTGTCATCGTCATCGCTGTGCTCGCCGCCGCCTACGCTGGGCTCCGCCGCCTCCCCCTCTCCCGCCGCCTCCGGCAGCGGGCCACCCGCATCGAGTCCGCGGTCGGCCTGCAGCCCAAGTTCAAGGTCCTCGTCAGCTTCTACCAGGCGAGCAGCATCCTCGGCGTCGTCTACGGCGTCCGCCTTGACGAGCACTTTACGCGCTGGCTCAACATGCTCAAGCTGTTCAGCCTGGACCTGTTCGATGTTGCCATCCCCGGCCGCTGCCTCGGAGCCATGAGCACGCGGCTGCTCGTCGCAGGGATCTGGCCGTACGTCGCCGTCGCCCTCGTGTCGCTCGCCATTGTGGCGGCGGCGGCGGTTCCCAACGTCGAGCAGGCATTCGACCACCAGCTGCTCGGCCGCCTCCTTTACTGGGCGATCTTCATCTTCTACCTCGCGCTTCCCTCCGTCTCGCGCTCCATCTTCAGCGCGAGGCTGTGCGAGTCCTTTGGCTACGACGACGCCACAGGCCAGCGGATCAGCTACCTGCTCGCCGACCCCTCGCTCACGTGCGACGACGGCCCGACGTGGGACGACAAGACTAGCGGACTCGCGCCGTACTTTTGGGCCTTCTTCGCCCTCTGGCCCGTCCTCGTGCCGCTCGGCTTCTTGGCGCTGCTGCTCCGCGTCCGCAAGCCCGTGGCTGCGCAGCGCGCTACGCCGCTCTCCCGCGCGACGAGTTTCCTCTGGCGGGACTACTCTGCCGGCTTCCTCTTCTGGGAGGTGCTCGACCTGGTCCGCAAGATCTTCCTCACCTCGATGTGCTCTTCATCGACCAGGAGTACGGCTCCAGGAAGCTGCTGCGCACCGTGGTGCTCCCGTTTCTGATATAGCCATGTGTCTACGTTCGCTCGCGCTCCCGCTGTCGATCGCCCGCGCGCAGACGGTTGAATCTGCCGAGTCCCTCTTTTTCTTTTT